TAATCTCAACATTTATAAATACTGATAAAAAAAATTGTTAGCTTTGGTTATACCAATTCAATGTCGACTCGATATATCACTTTGAAATCGAACTAGATTCCTCAACAACTGTCACATCTATTTCAAATTAGGACGTATTGCTGCCTACAAACGATAAAAGCTTTTCAGGTTCTCAATTGCCATTTAGCGCTATTTTATCTTGTAAGTATTCAATACTCATTGGAATGAGGAATTCTATGGATTATATAGTCGTAATTACCAAGTATTTTATGCTAATTGTTCAGAGAACAATCATTCTACCTGTTTAATACTTAGTGTTCACGACCATTGTGACGGTGAGGAAATAATGCTTGTTTGTCCTAGGCGCACTGAAATCTTTTATATCACATGTTGACGTTACAAAGTTTTAAAGTGTGTTTCGAAATTAAACCGCGTGAAAGTTTTAAAATAAAGAAAGATGAAACATATAAAGATAAAATGTAAAGATAAATAATAGTATTCAACATCAAAATTCCTTAAACAATAGAAAATGGGCGCTGAGCAACCAGGGACCTAATAAAATCAGAGATGGGATCAGACACCATGAAGTAGTGAGCATCCCCTGCTGACTGGTCACACCGGTCCTTGTCGAGATCGAGAAATAACGTTAAAATCTGTCATATCATTGTAAAAAATGGCTTAATTTATTGGTATGAAAAAAATGAAAAAAACTTCAGTCAGCAGTCAATGGAATTAATTTGGATTAGCAGACAGGGTAATTGTACTCACCATAGAATTTACGAAATGGTGACTTTAAGCAAAACTGCTAATATTCTTGATTCACCAACTTGTTTGTTACATGTAACAATGTATCTTGTTTTAGAAATTGTGTCATATGTAGAGAATGTTCTTTCATAACGAATCAACTGAGATATATATACTCCATATGCAAGCGATGAAGGTATAGTGCTTCATATGTAAAGCAATTTGACAGTCGAAAAGTTAAAGTCATCACGTTTATCATAGAGATTGGTTGTTAAATTAACATTAACATCTTTTTCAAGTAAAAATTTCAAATATGAAACAGATGTATCAGATTCTATAGCATATTTAATCACAAGCTCCCTAGGATATATCGTATTGACATAAGAATAGAAATAACCATTTTTGATTGACATTACACCTTCGATTATATAAATGCCGAGTTGTTGTATGCCATAGAAAGTGTTTCTTCTTTTAATTCATAAGATCTTGGACAAATTCTACAAAAATGGGTCTTCTTATAACTGGGCGAAACTGGTATTCATAGTGATTCCAAAAGATTGTTGGAATATGTGGTCTTCAAAAGCAACCTAGATATTGTCAATCAGAAACTAAAGCATCTTTTTGATGTCAAGTTAAGGTAGGATTCTACTTTGATTTCTGACTTGATGAATTATTCAAAGTATATTTTGCAGTTATAATAAGGCTGCCCAAAGGCTTAAAAAGGATTTAAAATATACATTTTATTTTGAGCTAGATTTTAATTTTAAAATAATATACTTGCTTGAATTTCCAGTCAACTTGTGATAAGAGTTTAATCAGGTATTATAATAAAGCATTTTTGTTATGTTATATGACTGTTCATCACGTGACGGACATTTATGACATTCTTAAATGTTGTACAAAAATCGCGTCGGCACAAGTGTAAAACAAAATTATTGTGAAAAGTTTGCTACATAGATCAATTCATCCTGATCTCAGGTACACATAAAGTGCTGGGGCAAGTCGGATTTTTACTTCTTAAGAAAATATATTACGAAAAATTCAACTTACCAACACAAGCAAGGGTATTTTCCACTCTTTATTGCGATTTCTACAAAATTGGATAAACTATATACAATACCACTGCAAAATTCAGTTAGACGACATATTTTTCTTGTAGATTCACACAGAATATCTTCAATCTATCCTTGTTAATGACTTGTGCCAGTCTAATATAAACATGATTCAAAAATTCTAGATCTGTCTTCGGACGTGTAAGGGGAGAGTTTTACATTCAATTTTTTCGCTATTGTTTGAATATGCGTATATCGGACAGGCAAAATGAATAGGGATATTAAAATTTCAAGTGATCAAAATCATAACAGCAGACTGGAGCTTATAAAAACAATCCCGACACTTGAATTAAACAACAATGCTCAAAAATGTACATGCCATGTGAAAGGAATGTAAAAATTATCACACTTTCCACGTCATGCCAGCTCAATTATACAGTGACTTGACGTCATATTCTATCATTCTATTATGACGTCATATCTAGATAGTTCAGAGAGGTCACTGCAGTTGAACCCGTTTGATATTTTACGGACAGCTTTATCCTAGCGGCGTTGCTTATATTTTTATATATTTATGTGAAATAGATTTAAAAAACCAAATTTTTTTTTTCTCATCACAATCGTACAACTTTAAGTAGAAATGGTAAACTGTGTTTGAAAACTACATTTTTGGCGGAATTTTTACGTATGGAAATATGTTCTTATCTGCCTCAAAAAATTTATATGGAACAATGAATTTCTTAAATTTTTTACATTATCAAAGATTTGAAGAAATTTTCAAATGTAAGTTAAATCGATAATATGGGACTAGAGTTTCAAAATTTATCAAATAGATATGATTTTCAAAACAAACTAGAACTATGTTAGTTTTTAAAAGATTCCAATTGAAGTACAGATTTGAGCCAAAAAATATGTTTTAAAAAGTGTTGTACTTCTCTTAGTAAAGGATCAAAATTTTTGTTTCTGTTTCATTTTGTATCTTTATGTGACAATTTTATCTTATATGAAAATGAGAAAAATTTAAATATAGGAAGCATAAAAAAATAACTAATATATCTTAAAAGTTTGAGAAAAGTAGACGAAATTCGGATTAGACAATATCCATTTTAATTAAATTGTTTATGTCAATTCGGTAATATCATTTCATAGGCCCTACGTGGTTGTATCTTTTTATGCAAAAAGAAAAAATTCAATCTGTTGAAATACAAATAGGGATCGCATGATTGGATACAGTATTTTTTTTTATTCTTTATGTCCAAGGAAAAGTTAATGACCTTGACCTGACCTTTCTTCTAAAATAAAACGGTCAAACTTAATCTCACTTATGCCAATTATAAGTGATATTGTCTTCTTGATTCTCTGAAAATTTCATGATTTTTAAATATAAGACATCTGAAAAGAATCCTACCTTAAGAGTAAGAGAACAAAATGAATTGGCAAAAGATTAATGACAAGTTTAGTAAATATACGAGTTCCATTTTTATTGCAAATACAGCTATCAATGATATAAAAAGACTGTTTTCTAATTTATCGTGGGAGATGGTTGTGTGTAAAGTTGAAAAATCGTTTCAAGTTTTTAAACTGTTGATTTGGGTAAAATCTTGTGATTTCAAATTGTCCAAAGGTTTCTTGTATTTTTGAAGTATCCACATCTGATTTACATTAATTCTTGAATATATAGTTGCACAGTATTCTTGAATTTTTTTTCACTACTGTTAATATCTTAATGAGATTAACACATGTATATAACCACAGTTTAAAAAAAATAATAATTTGCAACACATACATTTTCTTTCTTACATTCTCTTCAAATAAATAAATATTCGGGAGCTAAAGAAGTTTGCGAAAATCGTGGATATTTATCGCACCTAAATAAATGCTAATCTTTAAAAGTTTAATTTTTCGGAGGGGGGGGGGCTGCAAGACAAAAAACGACAGATGAAAATGAGTTGTTCTTTAAATTTTGAAATAAATGATAATAATACAAAAAAATTAACACTGTCTTCGAAACTTTTTAACACCCCTCATTCTCATGCAATTCTTTTCTTATGACCAGCACTGGAATTTTACATGTAACTATGAAAATTAGAATCAGTTCCTTCTTCCTTGACACTAACATTATATATGTAAAAAAAAATTCCGTTCACAAGGCATCAATAACCAAAGAAATTGAAAGAAAGATAGTTCGATAAAGCTCTGTAGTTACATGTATCTCAATGCATTGACTTTTGTCTGATATATTATTAAGAATGCCCAGTTGGTAAATATGGACAAAGATGTTCTGTCCAATGTGGACGATGTATTGAAAATCAACTGTGTAACCACGTGAATGGCTCTTGCCTTGGGAATTGTTCTCCTGGATGGAGAGGAGATAGATGTGATCAGAGTAAGTTTCTGATTTATGTATCAAACTTTCATATAGTAATGAATTTACTTTCTTCTGAAGTTGTATGCATGCGTTATTTTGTTTCTCCACATTACCGTATTGAAGGAAATTCCTCCGAAATACTACTCTCTTTTAATTTCATCCTTTTTGCAGTTTGACATAATTCAAACAGAGCAGCATAAGAAAAACAGCTTAATTTCTCCCCATGAGTCTAAGCGAATCAAAATAAAATGTTTGTAGGTGTACAAGTGCAAAAACAGGTTGGGCGAAAAAGAAACTGTAGACGGCATTTATTTTAGACTGCATTGACATTCAATTGATTTACTTTTTACCTTCATCAGATTTTTCTTCGCGCTTTGCATGTATTTGACTGCATATTCTTTATCACTATTGCATTGATTGTATAAGCATTCATTTCTTCTGACCATGTGTTTGTATTTTGTTTGTTTGTTAAACGTCCCTTCACAAAATATTTACTCATATTGAGGGGCCACCACTTAAGATGGAGCGCTGCAAATCGATTGCATTTCAGCAATTTGGTCTTTAAATAGTGAGAATTTCTTTGTGTCTCAACTATATGTGATATGGGACCTCGTTTTGTACCATTTCCTTAAACGTAGAAGTCCCCTTCTCAGAAAAGTGTTTTTAACCGGCTATGTAGGGATTCAATCTTAACTCTTGTTCCCTAGATTGTTCTGTGAATTAGAGTCATCAAGTTTAGTTTAATTTGGACCTAATTCTATAAAATTACAATTATACAGCTATCCATGTTCCTATCTTTCTCATATTTAATTAATGGTACTCCTCATTATTTGTAGAATGTCAGCATGGCTTCTTCGGTCAAAATTGTAATACTTCTTGCCACAATGTTAACTGTAATAACATTACATCATGTGACGCTGTCACTGGGGAGTGTTCAGAAGGCTGTGTTGAGGGTTGGGCTGGGAGGACATGTGATGGTATGTTAATTTCAATCTTTCATCTTGGAGAAATACCCATAATGTTCTATTTACTATAAATAAATCAAACATTTTTAATTGACAATTTTTCAGAATATTTCCATATGTTTGAACAGTTTCATGCATAACTTTACGATTATTTATTTTGCCAAGACAGAAATGGGAACCTATTATACTGTCCTGTAACTTTATAACATACCGGTAATGGACACAAAATGATAAATGCAAAAAAGATGTACATTTTAAACTTGTATTACAGTTTGTGCAAAGACGTATTACGGTCTATACTGTAACTTAACCTGCAATCTGCACTGTATTGATATGCAATGTAACCAAACAAATGGGCACTGCTTAATGTGTCCTAAATCACGTGATGGGCCGTTTTGTGAAACTGTTCAAATAACAACAACACTAACATTAGGTTCTAATTAAAAATTTTCTGATTATTCATTCACTTGATTTGTTTTCTAACCGCACCTTTTCCTAGCACATTTCTTTAGTACTTCAATACTTGCTTATCCTTTAACATATGAATTAACAATGAAATAATGTGTTACGTACATGTGATATGACATCATAAAAAAATGAAATAAGTCTAAGCACCAATATATTAACCGATCAATACATTTTCTTTACTCCTTTTGATCTTATTGACATAAAATACTAATATTCACATTTACCCCACTTCTGTCGATTTTTCCGTGAAATCCTGGCTTACGATTGGTTGAAGTCTGCAAAGTGAAGGCGGTGGATTACTTTTACCCCACCTCTGTTGATTTTTCCGTGAAATTCTGGCTTACGATTGGTTGAAGTCTGTCACGTGAAGGCGGTGGATTACTTATACCCAGTCAGTTGTAAATCCATACCCGGTCGATGTATTACGTCACAAACACAAACGTGACGTCATAATAGGCACAGTATAAGCGCGATGAAGCATTTAGCAGAGAAAACCATTTATAAACTACAGATAAAACGTAAATGTTTCATCGGTGGGGTAAATTCGTTACATAGTCATTTAGTGACAGGGTATGGGATGATACCTGGTTAGTAAATTTCATACCTGACTCGGCTCCGCCTCGCCAGGTATGAAATTTACTAACCAGGTATCATCCCATACCCTGTCACTAAAAGACTATGTAACTAATAATATCCCCTTTTCTCTTCTTCACTAAGTATTTACTAATTCTAATAATCTCTAGCTAACCACGAAAACATAACAAGAAAAAAAAACTTGATTTAACACTAATTATTATACATTTTTGTGCTTTCATAAACAGATACAAGATATTTTATGTCCTTAGTTCTGGTATAAAGTCATTTTTTAACAAAAAGGGTTCAATAAAACTGATTTTTTTTTATCTCGAATGATAAAAGATAAATGAAAATGTGGTACGGAAACACCAAAACCTGATTGCTGCACGTTAAATTGTTTTTAATGAGGTCAAAACCTACTTCATGTATCCGTGTAGGAATTATTCATTTCTTAAGACAGAAAATGTAATAATAATGTTTTAACCTCTTCAACGGTACCATACAAAAAATTAATAACCTACATTTCAACTAAAAATGTTTGATTTTGGTTGATGGGATATGTCTTTCAAACTATTTTATTCACTATTCTTCTTCAGAATGTGACCAAGGTTTCTATGGACGACTGTGTAATATGACATGTAGTGAATTCTGCAGGGGAGGACTCTGTGATCCTACAACAGGTCAATGCAATGGCTGTGTCGATGGAAGATCAGGATTCTTCTGTGAAACAGAAGTGGTAGTGAATAATGCTGGTGCAGGTAAAATGTTCATAAAACGATACACATTGGGCTCAGACGCTTGTTTAGAATTGGTTTATAAAGCGTAGTACTAGTTAAATCTGAGCATTGATTTATGAAACGTTCGGTTTTAGAGTGGATGTGTACATGTAAGGAATGTGTCTAATAATTTTGTATAATCTGAAAGAGATGAAAAGAATAGACCGGTATCTTCCTTAACAAAATTTATAAACATTTTAAATAAATCGTGTCTTTATAGTTGTATCTGAGGAAGCGCCCTTCCTGATGATTGGTGCGGCGGTCGGGGCCCTTGTCCTGATATTACTGGTACTCCTCATCATCTGCCTGATTGTAAGACGGTAATATAACAAATGTATAGCATTTACATTTTTTATTTAATTTCATAGTTTTGATTTTTTTTTCATCAAATTTATGAAAAATGTAAATACAATTTTATGATCTTTCACTCTTCAAATTTGTATGTCAATAAGAACAGGAAAAATGAATCAAAAGCATTTAAGAAGGAAGAATAAAAATATGCGCATTCAGCCTTAAGTGTTATTATTTGTCAATGAAACATCTGTTTCTCGGCGAATCACGGGCTTTTACTACCACAATGACTAGTATTACAATTCTTCTATATAACCCCCTAGGATCTGTATTTAAATTCGTTTTGTCTATTTGTTTTATAAAACCTAAGTAGCCTGCTTTTTAATTCTCATTTTCCTACATGTAGTATCTAGTAAACTACATGTTTTCACACATTGTCTTTAAATTATAAATGTATTTTTTTTTTAGGAAAAGAAGACTCGACACAAAGACAGAAGACGCCATTGGACTACAAACACAGATCACCCCGACATCAGAGAGAAGAGTTAATTATTACTTAGATCAAATTGACCAGGAAGGAAAAGGTACAACGCAAAAGACTCTCCACTTAGTTTCGTCAGTTGTATTATCAAAGAAGTGAAATATATTACTCACGGTGGTTTACTTGCCTTTTTTCTTAAATTAAATTACTGTATAGCAAACATATCACTTGCCTGTAACATTTTCGTAAAATATATCTTGACATTAAAAGCAAAGTAGTTTGTTTACCTATTCGCACTTATAGTGAACAAAAGTGTCAGTTTTTCTTGTGTGTTAAGCAACATTTTACGATGACAAATTATAATTTAAGAATTTTTAACATCGGTTTGAGACAAGACTAACTTTGCAATAACGATTACAAAAAGAAAAGAAAACGAATATTTATAATGAAGAAAAATCAACAAAATTGTCTATTATCAAAATAAATCAAATTAAGATATATAACTCAAATCTAACTGTGACTAACAAATACCACAATGATCTCTTCATTAGTGTAGTGAAAAACAACAACCTAATCAAAATGATACTATATTTGGGACCAAATACAAAATTATACATTAAGGTGTTTCCACCCTCACAATTTTATAGGTTCAAAGTACAAAAACTGCATTTATTTTCATTTAATATAATTTAAACTTTTCAATTATGGCAAAAAATGTATAGGTCACCATGTTAATTAAGATGCGAAACATAAATAACAGAAATGTATGTCAGCATAAAAAATCGCACTTTTTTTGTAAACTGTATCATGAAAAATATGTAAAAACTGGTTAAAATGCATTATTCTGATGCTGAGTGTTCTTAAATACTTCCTACTTAAAAGATACTTTTGAATTGTGAATATCAGGGAAACTATTTTATAATAAAGCAAATGCCTGAATGAAGAGACCTTAGAAGGAGTTATTGCCCTTGTCAACATTTTTTAAAGATTGAATTATTGACTAAATATAAAAAATATGCATTTTTTAAATTCTTTAACTTAACAATATTTATCATTACACCTACTGTAAAGCATTCGTCCAAGAGATATTGTTTTATTGGGTATGAATTTAAACTAATTACAGTTTTTGCAAAAACCTATGACATCATAGGAGGGTGGAATTACCTTAATACGACGTAAAAGGGATTTTTGTTCAATCAATTCATTATTGCAGCCCGGAGGACCGGGCTGCTCTATACATATAAGTTTAAGTGTTGGTGTATGGGGATTGGGGTGGGAGTAGTTATTTAGAATCAAAGGTTTTCTAAACATTGAAAAAATTGTTAATCAGAATGTTCTTTCCGTTTATAAATTACGAGATACATAACATTTTTACTTTCATAAAGTGAATCTGTAAAAATATATACGTTTTTCATATTTGATATATAAAGTTGCTTATCATTTACTATCGAAAAAAAGACAGGTCCCTTTTTTTAGAACATCGAATTTTACTTCTCGGATAAAAACGAACTCTGCACAGTTCGTGTTTTATATTCTAAAATTGAAAATTAGTATATTTTTAAATATATTTGTTTATGTTTAACTTCAATGTATATGTTATGCAGCCAACATTTACTTGAGGAATTGATCAAGTTTAAAATGGTATCGTTTTGATTGATTTTTATCCGACTACAAGTTTTTAAAATATTCGCGACTATCGTCTCCATCAATTAGATGCATGCCTTTTCACACATATCGAAGCGGTTTGATGATCAAGACTCATTTTCATTGTTAACTTTATATATTTCCCGGGCGACAATTGATGGTTACATCAATGTTTTCTTGTTTGTTTAGTGTTAAAGATTTTCAAATAGTGTGTATTTCTCATATAAAAAACATCAATATATAAGTACACGTACTATAATTTAATGCTATGTTTCAGGAGATCAGGCAAACGTTTATTACAATGTTAGTTATGTCGTCAACTCAGAGCAGCAAGAAGAATCGGAGCAAGAAGAAACTGAAAGTGAGATAGAAACAGGAGATGACCTACAAGAAATCGAGCTTATAAGTGAAAATTTAGGGGACATTCCCGTGAATGAGCTGTACGATTACATATTAAGGAAGCACGAAAATACAGAAGAAGGCTTTAAGGCTGAATTTAAAGTATGTTTTTATTGCTTTCCTTTTATCTGTTCCAAGGATCGTCTCCTTTAACTAAATGGGCCTTAACGATGCGTAAATAAAGTATTAAAATTAAATTTAATGTTGTTTGTAGTTCTTATGAAATTCTAATCGGGAATGAAGATCAAAAGATGCTTTTAAGTTTTTTGCAATAAATTCATTTTTAAGTGTAGACTATGAAATTAAAAAAATATTTGTGTTAGGGAAGTTTTTTTTAACTTGTCATATAAAAATACTTTGCCTATAACAACAGTAAGGAAATAATTTTAATCCCGGTAGGCTTTAATTGTATAAATTAACGACAAAGAGGATTAATAACAGGACATCGTTTGAAGTTGTTTATAAAAAGAAGTTAATAGAAAACGTGTAGAATTTAACACTGTAAAATGTTATCCATTAGTAGAAAATTTATCGTACATTCCATGGAAGTCATGCCCAGGAGGTCTAAATAAAACGATGTTTAAATTGAACTATTTGCATATCCAATGTCTCGAAGCCATGAATTTAGACATTACTGATCTCAGATTAGGTTATCAATTTAAACCCATTGTTTTAATTTTATTTTTACGCAGAATTATTTTTAGGATGTTTTTCGCATTTCGT